GCGTCCTTTGGACCTGAGGTTCCTGCGCAGAGAAGCTCCCAGACCAAAGGAAGACTGATGACATGGACTTTCCTCCAGAGCCAATGGAAAAAGCATTCCCTTGGAGCTGAAGCCCTGAATTTGGACTTGTAGCCTACTAGACTGTGAGAGAATAAATTTCTCTTTGTAAAGCCATCCACTTGTGTTGTTTCTGTTGGAGCAGCACTAGATGACTGAGACACAGCCCTAGATAACTAAGACACTATCTAAGGAACACAGACACACAAAGTTACTGTTCTGTGCTATTTTGTCTCCTAAACAGCTAGCAAATGACAGACAAACTTATACAAATAGAAAATAAAAACGTTAAGCCAAAAACGTGTAGGGGGCAGGAAAGCATAGTGGTTAAGGGAGTGGGCTCTAGCAACAGGCAGACCTGCACTGGAATTTCAACTCTGCTGCTTTCAAGCTGTGTGATCTTGGGCAAGTTAGCTTTCTAGCTGTGTGATCTTGGGCAAGTTATTTAACCTCTCTACATCTCAGTTTCCTCACCTGTAAAATGGGAATGATAATAGTGCTAGAGTGAGAAAACCCCCTAGAGCGGCTATGAGAATTAAATGAGGTAATACAAGACAAGCCCTAAGCCCAGATCCTGGCACAAAGAATCATGGCAGCAATGACAGCAGTCGTAGTGAAGACATTTATGTTAGAGCTTGGGGAAGTTCACTGCTGGGGAAAAAATAAGAAAATTCACCAACAGAATTCTACAAATGCCCAGTCTTAACCTTTCATCCATGCAGGTAATTCCAGTATTCATCGCCGGTTGGATCTCCAGGTCACCACTCGGTCTGAAGCTCTCAAACATCCCCTGCCCTTATCAGCCACCTGTTCCCCTCTCTTCAGATGAGCCTGTCCTCTACTTTTGTGGGAACATGAAAGTCTCTACACAGCATCATTCTCTCCAGGCCTCAGAGAAAAGAGGGTCCCCCTGGCCCCACTCTGAGGGTCACATACCTCCACCTGCCCGGTTCATGGGTACCAAGGAGCACCCATGTGGTGGCCCATGCAAGGCAGTAGAGGACAGTGTATTCTCGACCCCTCATTGTGCCCTAGAGTGGAGAAGGTGGAACATGTGCTTTCAAACATAAATGGCAAGGTAAGGTTGCACCATCTCCAGCGTGTTCATTTTGTCTCTTGGGTGCTGCTCCTCTCTGCTTTCAAAAAATGTGCATGCCTCCCTGTCCTGAAAGTAGATCTTCTCCAAGCCCTGCGTATCCCTCCTAGTCTTCCCTGTAATATTTTCCTGCAATCCTTCCTTCACTGCCTACACCCTGGTTTCCTACTCAGGAAGGTGCCAGAGCCCTGCTCCCTGGGCTCTCCATCCCTGGGGTCTGCATAAGCCCCTTTCCCTCAGTTGCTGAGGCTCAGCACTTCCCAGATCTCCTTCCTACCACACCTTCCTCTCTTGTGGATTTTCCACAGGTCTCCAGCCTTGACTCTCTTCCCTCCTAGCTTCACAACCTCTTTATAGCGCCATCTCCAGCAGCTCAACTCTCTCCTAAGATCTAGCTCCATCCAGTCTACCTCAAAGACCCACATCTCACTACCCCTCCCCGAAAGCCAGCTCACCATCTTCTCCTGCTTAAACTGAGCTCATCACCAATCTCCTCAGTCAGGGCATCTCCACCGGCCCTGCCACTCACCCTTGAAATCATTCTCTCTGCCTCTTCCTCAGCGTCACTCTTCACTCCAGATTCCCTCTCACACTATCCCCTCCTTTCCAACCACACAGTTCCACGTTTCTGTCACCTCAGGCCTGTCTCCATACCTCCAGGCCTTCCCCATGGTTAACTAACCACCACTTTGATCCCATCACTCCGACTCAAAAACCTGCCATTGCACCCTCTGCCCAAGGGAATCCCTGGGTGGTGCAAATGGTTAATACGCTCAACTGCTAACGGAAAGGTTGGAGGTTTGAGTCCAACCAGAGGAGCCTCAGAAGAAATGCTTGGCTATCTACTTCCAAAAAATCTGCCATCTAAAACCCTATGGACCATAGTTCTACTCTGACACATGTCGGGTCACCATGAGTCGGACACCATTGCAACTGTTTTTCTTCTTTTATTTTTTAAGGGGGGTTATCTAAGGGAAAAGCACTTAGCTTTTTTTTTTAATCTGACCCCATATATGCATCCTAATTTGGAGGCATGAAGGGGAGGAGGGATCTTGTATTTCTCTTAGGTCAATCTGAGAAGATTTGGAGGCCCAGGAGTTATGTTGTTGTTGTTAGGTGCCGTTGAGTCAGTTCCAACTCATAGCGACCCTATGTACAACAGAAAAAAACAATCTGCACCATCCTCACAATTGTGGTTATGCTTGAGCCCATTGTTGCAGCCACTGTATCAATCCATATTGTTGATGGTCTTCCTCTTTTTCACTGGCCCTCTACTTTACCAAGCATGATGTCCTTCTCCAGGGACTGATCCCTCTTGATAACATGTCCAAAGTATGTGAGACGTAGTCTCACCACGCTTGCTTCTAAGGAGCATTCTGGTTGTACATCTTCCAAGCAGACTTGTTCATTCTTTTGGCAGTCCATGATAGATATTCAACATTCTTCACCAACACCACAATTCAAAGGCATCGATAATTCTCTTGTCTTCCTTATTCATTGTCCAGCTTTCACATGCATATGAGGCTATTGAAAACAACATGGCTTGGGTCAGATGCACCTTAGTCTTCAAGGTAACATCTTTGCTTTTCAACAGTTTAAAGAGGTCTTTTACAGCAGATTTGCCCAGTGCAATGTGTCTTTTGATTTCTTGACTGCCGCTTCCATGGCTGTTGATTGTCAATCCAAGTAAAATGAAATCCTTGACATGTCAATCTTTTCTCCACTTATGATGATGTTGCTTATTGGTATAGTTGTGAGTTTTGTTTTCTTTATGTTGAGGCATAATCCGTACTGAAGGCTGTGGTCTTTGATTTTTATCAATAAGTGCAACAAGTCCTCTTCACTTTCAGCAATCAAGGTTGTGTCATCTGCTTATCACAGGTTGTTAATGAGTCTTCCTCCAATCCTGATGCCCCATTCTTCTTCATATAGTCCAGCTTCTCAGATTATTGACTCAGCATACAGACTGAATAGGTATGGTGAAATGATACAATCCTGACCCACACCTTTTCTGACTTTAAACCACACAGTATCCCCTTGTTCTGTTCGAACAACTGCCTCTTGATCTATGTACAGTTTCCTTATGAGCATAATTGTTCTAGAATTCCCATTCTTAGCAATGTTATCAATAATTTGTTGTGATCCACACAGTCAAATGCCTTTCAATAGTCGATGAAACACAGGTAAACATCATTCTGGCATTCTCTGCTTTCAGCCAGGATCCATCTGACATCAGCAATGATATCCCTGGTTCCATATCCTCTTCTGAATTCAGCTTGAATTTCTGGCAGTTCCCTGTCGATATACTGCTG